AATATACCCCAAAACCCTATGCTAATTGATATTGTAATTATGGTATATAATATACCCGAAAACCCTATAGTAAGTGAGTTAGGCCCCTAAACCCGACACCCTCAACCCATGAACACGTCACCTGCACAGCTCGACTCGCGCTCCGGCATCCCTCTGGAGGGTTTAGGGTTTAGGGTTTAGGGTTTAGGGCCCTCAAACTCGCCAACAAAAACACAGGAAATCCACAGAAAGCCCTCAGCCACACAAAAAGAACAGAAGAGCACGGAAGGACCCGCCCGCCGCCACAGACTTCCAAAAATCTTAAACCCTAAACCCCCAAACCCTAAACCCCATCACCCGAAAGCCCCAAACCCGAAAACCGAAAACCCTAAACCCTAAACTCCTAAACGCCTAAACCCTAAACCCCTAAACCCTAAACCCTAAACTCCTAAACCCTAAACCCCTAAACCCTAAACCCTAAACCCCTAAACCCTAAAACTACACCCTAAAACCCAGGCTTCCAAGAGACTCCACGCATCGAAGCTGCCGCAGCTCGCTGTCTCCTTCAGGAGTCGTTTCAGGGTTCAGGGATTCCGGGCTTAGGGGTTTAGGGTTTTAGGGTTTATAGGGCTTTTAGGGTTTAGGGTTTAGAGTTTAGGGTTTATAGGGTTTAGGGTTGAGGGTTTATGGTTTAGGGGTTTAGGGTTCGGGGTCAGGGTTGCAGGGTTGTGTTTTTCAGCACCTTTATCCGTCTGCCTAGCAGTGAGACGGTTCTAGGGCTTATAGGGCTTATGGAAAAAATCTTCCAGGCTTCAGGGCTTTCAGGGCTCAGGACGTTCACGGTTTAAGGTTTAGGGTTTAGGGTTCAAGGTTTTCTGGCATTTGGGCTTTAGGATTTTCAGGTGTAGGATTCTGGGGCTTAGGGTTGTTCCTCGAGGGTTAGGGCGTAGTGTTTGGGGATATTTTTCTTTGTGTGGTGCCGGTCCCCATACATAAAGGAGGAAAAAAAGCACTATGAAGCCCATACGTTGTACTCTAAAAACCCTTTGTAAAAGCTTATAAGCCCCTTTCAAACCCTTATAAAGCCCTGATAAAGCAACGTATAGAGCCCTGAATGGAAAATTCTCCAAACCCTAAACCCTAAACCCTAAGCCCTAAACCCTAAACCCTAAACCCTAAACCCTAAACCCTGAATGGAAAATTCTCCAAACCCCGAGGTCCGCCATCCGAGAATCGGCGGACCTCGGGGTTGAAGGCTCGGGTGTTTCGGTTCTCGTTTTGCTGAACGTCTCAGGGTTTCGGGTGTTGGGCTTAGGTCCCAATAAGGGGTTGAAGTTGCCGAACCCTAAGCTGCCCTAAACCCTAAACCCTAAACCCTAAACCCTAAACCCTACCCTAAACTCTGAACTCGCATATAGGCATTGATGCTTGACAAGGGTTTTCTGGGAGTTTCTTTTCTGAGGTCTTGCACTGCAGGAACCACCCCCCCCCCCCCGTTTCAACCCTATGCTGCAAGACCCTGAACCACGCCATGAAATGCGAAAGCCCCCACCCAACCCTAAACCCTAAACCCTAAACCCTAAACCCTAAACCCTAAACCCTAAACCCTAAACCCTAAACCCTAAACCCTAACCTGAAACTAAACCCTCATCCCGAGACCGCAAGTGCTCCTCAAACGAAACCCTTCGGAGCGCAAGCAGCCTTCGGGGAAAGAGCCCGAAGTCCACACCCAAGGTGAGTTCAGAAGAACCGTATGAAACCCTATAGCAGGCGCTAATAAAGACTCCTCTTACATTATCATTGTTGTTAGTACTATTATCATTGTTATTATTATGAATAGTAGTAGGAATAGTAATAGTAGTAGTAGGAGTAGTAGTCGTCGTCGTCGTCGTCGTCGTAGTCGTAGTCGTAGTCGTAGTCGTAGTATATTTGTTCTTGTAAAAATATGCATGTATACATATATATATATATATGTATACATATATATATATATATATACATATATATATATATATGACCCGATAAAGGCCCGTCATGACCCAAAGCCCGAACCAAAAACTGTAGGAAGCACTACACAGCCCTCAGCATAAAAGCCCTGAAACCCCCGGGCGCCCAAAGTCCTGCAGGAACCGCACCAGGCTGGGCAGCCGGTCGGCCCCCGTGAGCCCAGACTCGAATGGAAAGGCCTTTCAGGAGACGGCTGTAAGGGTTTTAGGGCGTACCTGGGACTCTAATTACCTACAGTTTTATGGGTTGCACCTACTAATTAAGGGGTCATGGCTGCTAAACTGTAGGTAAAGAGAGTTACAGGTAGGGCTTAATATAGGGGCCGAAATCATTACGAATAAAATCTTGGAGGTTCCTTACTAAAACTATAGTAGAATGGGCCCGAAAATGCTAGTCTAGTTATTGGGCCCCTAAAATAGCGCAGTGTAGGGCTTGCTGTTTAAAGTGGACTTGTAGACCTCTATAGTTCTATCGGTTCTGTAGGAAGTTTTTTAGCATGTCTGGAGGGTTTTTTCAGGTTTTCTGGGTACCGGTGCCCAGGGGTGAGGGCTTTCGGGCACCTGTCTTGCAGGAGGTCTTGCGTTCAGGGTTCACGCTGTTAGGGTTTAGGGGCTGAGGGCTTCCGGGTTATCGAACACAACGTCTAAAGTCAGATCAGTGGCCGTAGTTCTCCGTTGAATAGCACGACAAGCCTGAATGATGGGTACTATCCGCGTAAAGCCCCAACCCCAGAGCCCAAAAGCCAGAAATGGCACTGGGTACAGGCTTATAATCATCACTCACAAAAATCCACAGAGAGCCCAATACCCCCTCAACTTGAATCATCGCATAGGATCCCTGGAGTAGTTATAAAGCAATGTATGTTTCTCAGTTAAGGGTATGGGGCTCTGTGGGGACGGACATGGCTCATATCAGAACACTACTTGGCTACTCATCTGAGGATCGGCAGTGTCGACTTCAAGACTGTGCTAAAATGCCGGCGGGAAGGGTTCAGAAAAGAGGGGTATGGCTCCCAGAATAACAAAGAAAATGAATAAAGCGCCCTCACATTGAAGATTTGACAGTTTATAGGGTCCAAAAGATGGGAATCCCTATTTTCTCAAACTCCCAAACTCCTCTCTCTTAACCCTGAATTCTAAACCCTAAACCCCAGACCCTAAACCCTAAACCCACACTCCTCGCAGCCCTAAACCCTAAACCCTAAACCCTAACCCTAAACCCTAAACCCTAAACTCGAACCCCACAAATTCCTTTAAACCCAGGGCTCCAGGAGGCAAGGAAGCATCCGGCGATGCGCTGCCGCCGCTGCGAGGCCGGCACGGTGGAGTGCCAGCCTTGGGGCCCAGGAACACGAGGGTTTAGGGGGTTTAGGGGTTTTGAGTGGCTTTAGGTTTAAGGTTTAGGGTTTAGGGTTTAGGATTTAGGGTTTTGGGTTTAGGGTTTAGGGTTTAGGGGTTTTAGGGGTTTTAGCGGCTTAGGGGCTTTTGGGGGCTTTTGGGGGTTGTTCGGGCTTTAGCGGCTTTAGGGGCTTTGGGGGCTTTGGGGGGCTTTAGGGGGCTTTAGGGGCTTTAGGGGCTTAGGTGTTTCGGGGTTAGGGTTTGGGTCGCTAAGGGCTTTAGAGCAGGGTGTATTGCCGTATAATTATCTCGGGAGGATAGGAGGGCTGCTACACCTTCAGAACTCTAAACCCGAAGCCCTAAACCTGAAGACTTCAGAAGTCTAGAACCTACATCACCAGGATTAAAGTTTCGTCGCACTTGGCTA